GATTTGCCTCTCCTGCAATTGTTTAGGAATGAAATTTTTCTATTCAAAGTAAAATGGTAAGCTAGCAGGCAAATCAGGCACTGAGGATAAAACCAAATTTGGCACTTCATTTATGCCAAATCACAAGTTCAGAACTTGGATCTCATATTTTTTTTTCTGAAATTTTGCAGAGAAGCACGTCATATATATCAACAGCACGCAACTTTTGAGATAATTTAGTTGAGAATATTTTTTTTCTAAATTAAAATTTAAATTTAATCATCTTAGATTTTATAAAATTGTGCTGTAAACTTTATTTTCCTCTTCATGGTTTGAACGCTGATTAGAGATAGTAATTTGGAGTTGTTTTGCGTTCACATGTATCCCGATCAAGTCCTTGAGAAAATTCACGTCACTGTGTAACGATGCTTACTTATTCAACTTATCACTAAAGTCCTTATGGAATTAGATACATTTTGAATACTAACATGATCTTTGACGACTCTAAGTCCATGGAACTTCATTCATGCTCTCCAGTTCTCACCCAACGGTCACCCGACACTTTCCTCCAACTCAAACAGGCCATTTCTCGCATCTTAGTTTTCCAAAACCTCTGCTTTATGTTTCACGTTCTGCCTCCAGCATCTCGTCTACTTTTCACTTTTAGTCCCTACCCCCCTCTCCCCCCTCCCTCCCTACTACCTTTTCTTGAAATATCATCCACGGAAAGTCGATTGACTTGTTGTTAAATCTGTGTTCTTCGTCGTTTTAACCCTCACCGACTGATAGTCCTCTAGTTACATATCTCTTGAAATCGTGTGGTGCTGGAAGATGGCAACCGATCGAGCTCTTCTATAAATTGTTAAGTCTTAAAAGAATGTATAATCTGCTTTTAAAATACAAGCTACATAACTCCAATCATCAGATGGTAAAAATGAAAGAATCATTTAGATCCCAGAAATTACTAATTTTCGAAGTCGATCGAAATTATTCACTGATTCGAATAGTAGTAATTTAGTGTACCGTAGCCAACCGAGAAGGAGACTGCAATAAAAAATAATTTGTCTCTACCTCAAAATTATGCTCCTTCAAATTGCAAATGTCGAATATGCTCTGTAGCCGATTGCTACACGAATAAACCTTGACATATCCACAATAATCTCTATGACAAGATCTCCTAGTTGGGAAGGAGATAAAAAGGAAACAAACCTGTGACGTAGAATATTCTTATTTGAGTTGTGTGTGCGTATGTATGTGTGTGTCGGCGAGGGAGTTGACCTGGAACTTACTCATAAAATTTTGTTCGGGTACGATGACCTTGTAATGACTATTGATTTTTGTTTGGTCGAGAGGTCTCAGCACTCGTGAACTCATTTTCTCTTTGACGAGATTAGCATACCTTTGTTTCGTCTACTTTTGTACTTCGTGGATCTGAGCTTAGTTTTTGACATTCATTCAAAGATTAAAATACAGGTCACTTTGACTTAAACATCACTTAAAAATCAAATTAGTACAAAACGAAAATTTTCTAAACTTTAACCCCAAATTCTCAACTTTGAGCATTAAAATTGACTTTAAGACTATCCTGATTGTTATCGGCAGAACGAAATGGCACGTGATTTTCTTCAAAAGCATGGAAAAAATTTAATAAATTTTTTACATAAATCCGTTAAGTATTAGTAAACAGTTTCATAGGAACCCAATTGCAACTATTTCTTTTTGAATACATTGATTTTTCTGGTTATGAAAAAATAAAAGTTTAAAGAAAGATTCTTACAATTTTCAGACTATATTGAAAGTTTTTTTAATTTTAGGTACTCTGATATTCATATAGAATACAAACGCCTTAAACATATTTAACTTGGGTCCGTTAATTCAAATTTATATTTATTAAACGAAATTCTAAAGGAACTCACCTGAGATTCCTTAATTGGAGTTAGGTCTTTAAGTACTCGCTCATTGGCAAAATCATATTTTTCGCGTTCGCCTGACTCACCGTAGAGACGAAGAATATTGTCCTTTATGATATTAAAATGATTCCTCGACTGACTTCCAATATAAACTGTGGCGCCTCTTCGAGCTAATTCCGCAGCTACTTCAACACCCATGAACGAGGGACCGTCAGTCACTAAAGCAACCTTGCCATCAAGTCGTCCATGTACATGACACAGGCACGACTGTGGCCAGAAACGCATCAGGAGTCCAATTCCAAAGGCAAGGAGAAATACGACTACTGCTGTTGCAAGGGTGCGCATCACAACCTGCTGAATGCCTGAAGTAACTTTTGTGAAGAGACTCAGTGTTTGCTTGCACTAAGTTGCTAATTGCAGAAGCGAGCCGAGCTCTGTTGTGGTAATTGGTCTCACACATTCTTTGCTAATACGTCTATGTGATTTATTTGTGTGCTTTAATGTGAGTGGTAGATTTTAATTGATAAGTTGTTCTGAAAGGTTATCTCAAATATTCCGAATAAGACTGCAATTCTCTTCTTCATATAAATGTATTTTGGCTAATACGAATTATTAGTAATTACTCGGTATATATTTTCGCCTAACCTATTTCCATTTTATTAGTTTTTACATAAAATGTGCTTAATCGATAAATGGTTCTAAGTACCATCATCAATTTTTTACTTTTCAAGACTATTACATTTGACAAAATTCAAGAAGCTTCTAAGAGGAAGGAAAGGTACTACAACAGTTTGGTACCCGTTTGGAAATAAGATACTAATTAATAGAACTAACGGCCTGAGATAACTTTCATGAAAATGAACGGGTAAAGATATTTGGAAAATGAGCTGAGTAGACGCATTAAGGATATTTGTTCAATGAAGTTGCCATGAAGTGCTTTACCGCAACGCTGAAAAGACAGTAGAAAAGAAAGTAGTTCTATTGGATGTTCTTTATTTTCGTCTCCTTCACCGAACCCAATATGATTTGCCCTAACTATTAACAGGGGGTTCTGATAGTTAAGTTTAATTATAAGTGGAAACTTCTGATTAAATACAAAACAAACAGACTTTAAACATGGTAATAAGAAAAATGATAACCGCAGGACACAAAAAGATAGAGGCCTGAGTCTAAACATGTAAGGCAGCAACATATACTACATTTATATTTATAGATGGCAAAAAGTATTCCGGTGTGTCAGAATAGTGACATGCATGTAATCCGATTGCACATTTATCGCATAGTTAAATATAAGGGCATCCAATAATGCGCGTGAATAAGGAGGCCCAAATTTCATTTTTTTAAACACACTGAGGAAACTTTATCATAGAGTCGCTAACATGGTCAGTCAAATTTCACATAAATAAATACCCTAATTCTAACTTTTGAAGCAATTTAATCTTTCCTTTTTATCTTGGCGAGAGTTAAATATTAAGCAAACGTAATCTTATTTCTCCAAAGCGAAAAATGTTTAAAAATTTTGTTCTATTCTTCAATGTACGCTAAAGTCTATGAGAATACATTGAGCTGTAACAAGGTGAAGGAAGTAAAAGATTATCGTAAACATCATCGGCGTGGACATAAAAAAGGTTATAAACAAAATACGGATATAATAAAACAAAATAATTCAAATAAAAGACAATTAAAAATCAGAAATTAACAAGTGGAAAAGTAAAGAGTCCTAATTTCAAAACTAATTCAGGGAATAGACACATTTTATTAAAGCTTTCGGAAAAAAATTTATTCATGGTCAAAAATGATTTCAATTTTCTAATGATTGCATAAATATTATTACTTGATTTAAATGCCTAATACTTTGTTTTGTAACCAAAATGTAATGTTTGGAAAGTTTGAAACGCAATAAAGTTTCTAATTTTTTAATTTATCTGACCTCGAGTGTTTAAATTGGCCAGACACCTGTTGGCTCTTGTGCCAAACTTAAGCTATAATTCCAGCTGGTATATTTGTTTGCGAGTGAACTTCAGTAATGGGTCGTTTATTTGTCGAACATTTAGGCGGAGAACGAGTCTTCGTCTGTCACTGTCAAACACCCTTGACAAATAGAGATGAATTACTCAGTACAAGATTCACTGGATCTACTGGTCGTGCCTTTCTGTTTCATCGAGTTGTTAATGTCACTTTTAGTGAAATTCAGGTATTTGGGATTGTCTTAAGTTTGTATTTTTATTTTACGTT